CAAAATAGCCCAGGGAAGCCTGGAGAGGTGAAGTAAATCAATTAAAGCTGCTTTGGGCAAACCCAGGTTGTCCACCCACCCAGTGTGTTACATGTATGATATATTAGGTATACTATTGTGTGGTTCTGGTGTTCCCTAAAAACATAATGAAGTGACAAAAATGAATATTACCTCCATTAGGAACATAGGAACACCCTAAACTTCCTTTTTAAGAACATAAAAATGCCAATTAAATGGCTATATGCTTCTTGTCTTATTCTATTATTACCTCTCTCGGGAGAGAAATTGGAATTATATTTCTCTCTCTCTCTCTCTCCCCGCCATCTGTCTATCTGTCTATCTGTCTGTCTGTCTTTCAGAGATGGGATCTTGCTATATCTGGTTTTCAGTGCTCCTTCTACCTCAGTTTCCCAAATAGCTGTGACTACAGAGGCCACCATGTCTGGCTAACGTTTTTTCTTTTCTGTTTTTCTGGGGATCAGGGCTGTTTTTAACAGGGCTTGTCAACTGTTGTCATGTAGCAAAGGGTCATAAGAATCAGCAGTAATGATGTGCATCCTATAACCTTACCTGGTGTTTGTTTCTTTGGGTTATTGCTTCTAGCTTATTTCTTCTTTCCTTTTCTACTTTCGCTTTCCAAGGACAATTCAAGACTTACTATTTATCTCTTTCAGGACTTTCTAAACACCACTGAAATGTAGCAATCATTTGCTCTTGTAGCTGGTAAAGGCAAGCAATAGCACTAGTGTGTTCTTTCCTGTGTCATTCTAGCTACTGTAGACTTTGGGGCTTTAATTTATTGCTAAATGGACTGAAATGTTACTACTGTCCTTAAAAGGGTCTTTAAGGTACAGGTATTGGTTCCTTGAACCCCTTTTGCTGTGATTTTACTTGTTTCGTTGTTGTATTAGCTTCATGGATCAGGCCACATCTTTGGCTTCCTCTGTGGGAGCGGGTGCCACCTTAGATTGCTTTCCAGGTAGATGCCATTAAGAATGTGGTGCTTCTTTGCTCTGCTCACTCGGGCATTCTGGACTTAACTTTCTGCTCCTTGTGGGATGGTCATCAAATATCTGCAAAGACTTTTGGTGCACGTAGAGCTTTGTGAGGGGATGCATGAAGTAACTTCCCAAAGGATGTGGTGTCTCCACTCAGACCCAAACCAGCTGGACCAAAACCCTACTGTAGTCCAGCCTACGTTCTTATTTGTAGTGTGAGAATCAGACAAGATTACCTCTAAGATCCTTTTCTGCTCAAATATTCTATGAACCAGAGAAGACTAAGGACATATATAAATTAGAGTTCTATAACTAAGAGTTAAGAGGAAAAGTAAGAGTTTGACACCAGCCATCAGGAATGGGATAGAGAGTTTGGCGTCAAATGGAATTAAGGTGGAGCCCACTTTTGCTAGTGTTTTGTGCTGTCACCTCTAACAGATTACTTCTCTCTGAGTCTTTGATTGCTCACGAGTGAAAAGGAAACACTACTATCTACATAACTAGGCTGTAATGATTTAGTATATGTATATAGTACATTTAAAGTGCTACATGCATAGTTGGCACATAGCAATCACCCTGTAAATGGTACAAGTTACTACAATGGCTGCAATCTTATGACTCTATTGTTTTGGAGTTTGGAATAGATTAGAGCTTGGAAAATGATACATGCAGAATCTTTGAAGTTGAAGAAGGGCTAAAAATACTTCTATAGCTACTGAAAGAAATTATACAAAAAATGTGATAAAAATGGAAGTGGAGGGCTCTGATGGGCAACATCATTTATTCACTTATTTCTGCACTTGTTGCTGGTGGAGATATTTTATTTTTTTGACAGGATGGAACTCAGGGCCTTACACATGACAGGCAAGTCCTATGCCACTGAGCTACATCTCCTGATGTAGATATTTTTTTGATGAGAAAATATCTTTATCAGTTCAGTCTTGGGGCTTAGCCAGCATTTATCTTCCAGACACAGTCATTCTTTGTATTTAAAGATGATATATTATTACTCTTGTTACCCAGAGTAGATATAGGTGTGTCTGGAAAAACCAGCCCAGGAAGAGGAGTTATTTCTGGAGGTTTGCTTTATTTTGCAGCTACTAACAACATTTGTGACGCTATTACTTCTGTTTCTGTGCACATCTGGATTCTTGGCCATATCTCCTTAGTTTGGATCTTCTCAGCCTGGCCTCTCCAGGTCTTGGGGGATTATGGAAGTCCTTGAAATTCTTTGCAGAATATACGTATTTGCGTTGGAAGAGACCTTGGCCAGAGTACCAGAGTAAGACTCACAAAATGCAGGAACTGTTAGTAAGTTCCTCACACGAGGAAATAATTCAAATGACTTTACAAGATGAAAAATAATGGCTTCACACAGACTCAAAGAGATCCCCAAATACCTGTTGGCTTCTGAAGCTTTAGTCCTTCCATACATTCCCCTTTCAGCGAAAAATGTCCTGAGTCTCTTCGGCAGGGTTTCCCGGCCAGCTCTCTCTGACACGATCCAGGGTCTGCTTGGATGGTCTGGAGAATCTTTGGCGAGTGGGTGTGAAGACTGCACACTTTCTTTTTGTCCTCAGAAAGGGATTTCTTTTTTCTTTCAGGAAAGCTAGTGTCAGAGAATAAAGTTTCCAGAGAAAGAAAAAAACCCTGATTTTTATACTAGGGGTTTAAATGTGTAAAGTAAATTTTGTAGGATGAGGTTTTTAAAAGGAAAAATACTTGCTTACTAGTTTTCATCTGCAAAGAGAATAAATCCTTTGTGCCTGCCTCTGCCTGCAGGCAAGCACAGCCACAGGGCCACGCCCTAAGACTGGGTTTGGCTCTATTCAGTGTTGGTCCCCCCATTTTAATAAGTACAACCTTCTTTACATCACTAGTGCTAGGATTTGAGACATAACTCTAGATGGGAAAGGAAGTGGATTTTAGTTGAACCTGATTTGAACATTTAAAACTTTTTTTTAAGAAAGGAAGGAAATAAATAAATAGAATTTGCTGAGTCCAAAACTGTTTTGTTTTGTTTTGTTTTGAGATAGAGCCTCTCTATGCAGTTTAAGCTGGCCTCAAACTCAGTTTGTAGCCCAGACCAGCCTCAAACTCATGGTAATCCTCTTGCTTCAACCTGCTGAGATTATAGGCGTGCACCATCATGCCTGGCTTCTGAAGAAAGCTGCTATTAAACTGAGAGTGTCAAAAGTCCCAAGTCCATGCATTCAAGGAATTATTATATAAAGCACCCTAGATGCTGGATGTTTGAAAGGTTTACCTTTTGGTCTTTCACATAGGTGAAATAATTAAGAAGCAATAACTGCAGTCAGACTTCTGAAAAGGGAAAGATGGAGTAGGCTGGAAGAATATATCAGATCACACAAAGATAAATAGTGAATGTTAATCAAAAGGGCAATAATTACCTCAGTATGGTGCCTTCAAATGATGGAATACTATTCAGCAGTCAAAAGTTATGAACCAATCTACATATAGCCATGTAGAGGTCTCGAAATTACTACTAAATGAATTTGGTACCTTTTAGGGTATGCATAGTATTATAAAATATGTTTTTAAAAACAGCATGAATAAAAAAGCACCTATTTTTAATGTGTGTGTGTTTCCTTTTAAAGATCTGGAGGGAAGCACATTGCATTGTCAATCATACCCCTCATGGAAGGGAGGGAGCCGGGATGACGGCGCCAGCAATAGCTTTTGATTTGTCTGTCTTGCACTGGCAATTGACTCCTTTGATGGAGGCAAAGCTTTGTTCCGCAGAAAGCAGTTGAGGTTTTGTAAATATCCTGCCTTCTCCTAATAGATCATGTGACTTCCTGCTAGCCCAGGCCTCCGTGAGGTCCGGAGAGTTTGGTCTTTTCTGTTTTTGAGGCTTCCAGCATAGTAAAAAAATAAATGCCAAAAGAATGCTATAGCCAACATAGTATATTTTCGATATTTATGTTTAGACACTCAGGTGATGACTCTACCCTCTTTATTCCTGTTGGTGTAACTGTGACCCTCCCCAAAGGCTATATTTTAAACCCTAAGCCAACCGCGTGCCTGTTGTATTCTTCCAAGTGGCCCTGCACCTGGCCCCCACAAAGCAGAAAATAGCCTTGTTCAAAACAGGCCGGCAGACTGACCATGGGAGGCTCAGAGCAGGCAGGTTCCTAGGCCTCCAGCCCTTTCCCTGGGGAGTGAGTTCTCTCCCAGGCCTGGCAGTGCATCTATAGCTTCTCTCCTACGCTGTGGCTCCCGCTTCAGAACCATGCAGTTGTCCTGCCACACTGTATGGAGACAATTTTACCTTCCTAACCATCCTCCCCTGCCTCCACCCAGGGCATTTAAGGTCAAACAGGCTTGAAGTACACTCCCTGTGCCAGCCCAGCCCAACCCAACCCAGCCCTGCCTCCCCCAGCCCAGCCGGGACAGAGTTGTGGCCAAATGTATGGCTACAGTTTAATAGCCTTGTAAACGTTCCAACCATTTTATTTTTTTAAGTAAAAAGTGTTTATCCTAGGAAAAAGTTGCAGTAGGGCATACATTATTTAAAAATGTGCATCTATTCCACTTTATAGGAGCAAAATGGATGTCATTTTAAAGTCGTTATTTCTGTGCTTGGTGAAATTCTTGCATAAATATCTGGAGAAATTAATAGCTTTCGCCAATTATGGACACACTTTTTAAATTGCTTGAAGAAGTCTTGTCCTTCCAGTCTCCCTGTTTTTAATATTATATTACGTTTTGTATAATCTAAAGTGTCCTCATTCTGAAAGTACTGATTTGTCATTCGAAAGAATACATTCCTCTGAACAAACGCACTCCAAACTGAACCCAATGCTAATGCACATTTTATAGGATGAAAAGACAAACAATATAATTATACTTGAATTTCAGGGACTCAAAAGTAGTAAAACAAAGTTTACACCAGAGCCCAGGGCAAGGTTTGTAAGTGAGCCATCCACACATTCATTTTTCTGAGCTGGGTAAGTTTGCTAAAATGAGCTAGGGCTACTTCCCCGGACTAACAAGAAGGAAAATGTCAATCAGTTTTTCTTTTGTTCTTTCCAGATCCTGTTCAAGTGTACACTGAGCCAGCAGGTTCACCAGAAAGCTATTGAGCCTTTGCAGGAACACATTATGCTGGGTGGATTTCTTCTGGATTGTTGCCAAGGGTTTTTTATGCTTCTGTGGTAGGCATTTCTTGAACATTGTCATTTAGCCAAGCAAAGAAAATGTTTAAAAATTCTTGTTTATTTAAAAGCAGGTTAAATAGCAATACGATCTCAGGATAAGGCAGAGGAAAGCATTTATTTCTCTAAGTGATCTGATTAGGTTAGTTCAATTTTTTCCCCTTTAAACAGGTTCATAGTTTCCCCCTTTAGTGTCGATATACTAAAACTATCTTCTAGAAAGTATTCCCCAGCGTCTACTTTTCTTTAATATCATTAGGTGTTTTCCAAAACTAAATTTTCACTTTGGAGGTTTCTCACATATGTGTGAATCGGACAGGAACTACTAGTGACAGTGGTTTTTCCACTTTCAATCCCCAAATTCTGCCATACCAAAACAAACAAAAGAACAAACAAAAAAAGGGAACATGTTTTATATTAGAGCAGGCAATATTTTAAAAATACTGCAAGCTCAATTATAAATTCCCAGTTTAAATTTTGACACAAAAATGTACAACACATAACTATCTCCCCAGAAATTATTCTCTAATGTAGTAATATATGAGTACAACTCACTTTACTTTAATAAGGTTTCAATTAGTACTAAGCTTTGTACTGTATCCTCTGTGATCCCTAGAGTTGTACGTGGCTTCCTCTAAACCTGGCAAGGAAAAATTCTAAATATAAGTGTTTGAATCTTGTCTCTGCCATTAATTAATTGTGTGACCTTGGGAAAGTTACTTCTCCTAGCTTCAGTGTCCTCATCTGTAAAATAGGAATAATAAAACCTAATTCCTGGGGCTGCCATGAGGATTAGAGATGTCGGTGAGCTATGTCAGGGGTGCCCAACATGTTGTAAAGGCTTCAAAGTATCTTAGTTCTTTTCTCATCTGCTCCAGTTTATTTCACCAGTACAAGTTAAACTGGAGGTTAAAATAGGCAAGACTGTGATTTAAATTAGGACAGTGGTTTCTTAATGTTAGCAGATTTCCTGCTGCTTCATTTCATACTTGACTTTAAATATACAAGTTCCTGTACACATTCTTTAAAAAAAATAAATCTGTTTATATGCTGATGAAGATATGATTGATTCTGATATAATGTCTGGAGAACCAAATCTTATGCAGAAGAATTTTGTTTCTGGAGAGCTAACTCTGTCATGAAAATGTTCTCAATGAAGAGTAAGTACGATGCTACTTTTTTCCTGCTCAGTGTCTAAATCAACTCCTAAAGAAAAGCATGGCAATTCTCCTTTTCTGCCTAAATCCTATGGAATTTGCTCCCTCCTGTATTCAAGTTGGGGCTGCGAACTGAGCTTGGCTCCCTTCAATTGAATTTTGTTGCGTGCTTGGCACGCTCCGCTCGCGGACCTCCCATCTGTAACCGGCACCTGCAGCTGGTGCGGTTCAGCGCTTCGAGCTACTTCCGGGCCACGCAGGTACCTGAGTTTTCACCCCTGGTTTCCCAGCCAGTGCAACATGCTTCAGACTCTGGAGTGTTGCAATTGCCCCAGCTTTTGCTTTGGTTCTTTAAAAGCAGCTCTTCCCCCACCCCTGGCACATCACCATTTCTCCAAGGCACTCATTGTGAGATGGGAAGGCTGGTGCCTGTCATTTGCATTCCAGATTAAGCTCACAGAATTTAGATTTTTTTCCCCCCCTTTTTTTTTTTTTTGTTGGTGCCAGAACACACAAAAGAGGATATAAGTTATATTTATATTTTGGTAAAACACACCAGTATGGATCCCAGGAGATGCTGAGTTTCCCTCATATTTCTTTTGAGTTGTTTACATAAACTGTGGCCCCTATTTGTAACAGATAGGAAGAAAGTTTCACTTTGGTGGGGATGGTGGGGGTGGGGAGGAAGAGTGGCACAGGAAAACTTTTTCTCTCTTGTGCCATGAGGCTTTTTAATTCCTGGAAAGAGAATCTATGTAATGGCAAATAAAATTTCCTGGTCTTCTGGGCCAAGACACAGTATGTGCCTGCTCGTGAGTCTCGCAGCTGCTAAGTGCGGGCTGACACGGGCAAAGCTCTCCTAGCCTCGGCTTTTGACAGTGCACGTTCCTAAGGCAACTCTGGCCTACTGAGGGACTAGGGTTTCTGGGTAAGGAACAAAAGATCTGATAAACAAATCTAGGGAGGTTAACAACTTGATTTCTTTAAAAAAAAACGTTCCCAAAGAGAGTGTCAGGGAAAGGCATGGCCCAAACCACACCCTCCCTGAAACAGATTCACCATCGGAAGATGGAGGTGAGGGAGCTGGAATCTCATCTAAAAGCGAGTTCTCAAATATTTTAAAGTATTTCTTGGGAAGATAGTAATGAGAATCAATGGGGTGATATAATGCTTCTTTAACACACTAGGGTTGATGTTAAGATTTGAAGTATTTTTGGCGTGGATGCCCATATTTCTTCCCCTGTCCTCTTCTGCAGTGGGCATGGGATTTGGCCAGTTCAAGATGCGACATAATAAAGGAGACCTCAAGGCAAACACATGCAGACAGCCTGCTCAGAGTGGAAAGGGCTGCAGAAGGAGGACTTACTGAACTCAGGACAGGTAATCCAGAAAGGATTTACTGGGGAGGTGTCTTGCAGGCCACTGCACAAACAGGAAGTGAGAATGGAGATTAAATGGAACTAATTCAGGCAAAGGGGTAACACATGTGAGCACTGCTAATAACAAGAGTGCCTACTTACTACTTGTTGACAGTTTATTATGTGCGGTACTTTATTATGTGCCTAATTATTGTACACGGATCGTCTCTTGTAATTCTCACCAAAATAATCAAAGAGAGGTTGTTTTCTTAAAAGCAAGAAAAAATTAAGTTATAAGTGAAGCTGTACTACTTGCTCACTGTTGCACAACTCGATAAATGGTGGAGTCAGAATATGAACCCCAGAATCCAGGTTCTTAATCTGTTTGAGGAAATGATATGTGTTGATAAACTTAGAGCCTGAACTACCTGAATGTGTGGTGAGAGACTGCTGGATTTTTACTTGAGAGTGATACATTTCTTAAGCACAAATCTGATCAGAATTCTCAGCTGTTTTTTTTTTTTTTTTTTCCTTTTTAGCAGGTGTATGGGAAGGGAGTGTGTAAGAAGGATTTTAGGAATTTTTAGAAATTTCTTTGCTTATGTTTGAATGGAAGCAACATGTTCCCTGAAGTTTTCTTCTAGGACACGTAACTTGAAAATAGTCTGGGCAGTTGTGAGTGTCACATGTGGGGCTGGGGGGAGGGCAGGCGGCCAGGAGACAACTAACTAGGGCACAGTTAGAAGGCAAAAGGTACTGATGGTGATGATGATTGTGTTACAGATTTCCATTCCTGTAACAAATACCTGAAATAATCAATTTACAAAGAGCAGTAAAGGTTTATTTTGGTTCATAGTTTTGGAGGTTTCAGTCT